CCCCAAAACCCCAAAACCCCAAAACCCCTCAAATAAGAGTAAAAGATATTTGATGAAATGTGGTATTATCGAAAGTTAAAACATAATATAATTTTTTTTAAAATTTGAAATAACTAAATCATAATCAATCCTTAATTCATTTGTTTAATGAATTCAAAGTCTTCCTAACTATTCTAAAATATTAATTTTATTAGATAAAGTTGAAAAGTTTAGAACTTTGCTTTTCAACAGTGAGGCAATCATTTTTAACCTTCCTCATAATTTATTTCACTTTTATCATATCATTTTTATCTATTTCATACTTTTTCCTCAAAAATCTTACTCCTTATTTAATAAGCTGCATTTTATCCTCATTAACTTCATCAATATTAGTTTGCTTCATATCGTATTAAATTGCTAATATTTTCAGAGAGAGCATAACCAGAGCCAACGATATATGAGTATAGTCAATACAATAGTAATTTATATCAAGCAACATGCATAAATAACCAATTTTAATGTTCTATACTAATGATTCATTCTCAAAACTATTAAATTTCGGAGATTTCGGGTCATACAGTAAACTCTTCATTATTAGAACTGCTTCATCTTGTTATGAGTCTAATATTATTTTAAAATTCATCGTCTAGAGTACATCTATTTCCATATCTAAAATTTCTTTGATCGTGAATTCTTCACTAAAAATAAACTTTTTCACAATTGCACTCAATGATACTTGTTAAGTGTCATATAATTTAGAGCAAATCCACATTATGCAAATGCTAATTAGTTTTAATCTTCTAAAAGAATTTTCACAGAGAAAATTTTAATTTTTCTCTTTCTTTGCAATTATGTACTTAATAAGTAAAGTTATCGCTTTAAGCAAAGAATCTTCATCCTCAAATCCTAAGACTTGATGGGAATTAAACATCCATTCAAGTGTTGAAATCCATATATTTTTACCTAATAATTAAGTCTCAAAGTTTCCATTAATTTTATTTTCACCTGATTATTTACGCATTTTAATATTTTTATTGAAATTTGAATCATCTGACCTCATTGACTCAAAAAAACATTATTCCATGTTTTTCATTACTCCTTTCATTAGCTTTTTCCTAATTTATGGTATGACCAGGTTTTAGCCAATTTTAATTCTAATATTTCTAATTTGTTCGAAATTCCTTTAGACTTTGTGGCTGCTCGCTATTCTTTATTTTATTGTCAAGGGCTGAATTGTAGGTGGCTGACTATTTTCTTAGAAATTAAAAGGTGATTAGTGCAGACTCCATGAGTGACTATTTTAATTCGAGATGTTCGTGGAGCATGAATGATTTGCGAAAGAGTATTAAGATAGTTATCCATTTTCTTCTGTGTTATTAAATTTGTTCACTTTGCAGAGTATATCTTTTATTCAACGTTGACGATTTAGCTATTTAATATCGTCAAGATAACTAGTGTCGACTACCTATTGCTAAAGATTATGATTCTTTATGTTAATGACCCTTTCCTTTTACACGAAATTATTTTGTCTAACATATGTGAATGAATCACCTAGAGTTTAATTTAATGTTTGAATTCTTCTCTTTTCATTTGAATGATATCTCATTGTTCAATTAGTAAATGTTTTATTCAAAAGTTTGTTTCAATAATTTTATAATTAATTGTTCTTTCGACTATAAATCATAATAAAATTGAAGGCATGTAGAATGTTTTTATTTAAAATTCTCAAATGAACTAACAATTTCTTCTTCACGGGGTTTTGGGGTTTTGGGGTT